TTTATTTATTTATTAAGCATAAATAATATATCGCTAAGTCCCAGAGCCTAGCTGCGCCACTGAAGAGTCTCTTAATGTGTTCTTATGATCCTGCCCACGCACCTGCCTAAAGTACTCACACTTTGTATTTCCCCATTGAGCTGATCGAGGCCCATGTTTGATCCAGTTTCCGACCACGACTGCCTACGTCAATCTGATCGATCACGTGCCAATCAGCTTCACGTGTAGTTTGATTCGCATCAAATATTACACGAGAAGGGATATTGGTAACGTGTCAAAATATGACCTGTCAATGACCTGCAAAAGGTCATTTCAAATGGTCTTTTAATCACTACTGAAACAGTTGAAACTGATTTTTTTTAAACTGTATACTTATGAGCTCGCCTATGGTGGGTTTTTTTTTCAGTACATAAGTTTTTACTAACATGGTTTTTATAAACTCGAAAGCTGGAATGTAAAATTCGATAGAGAAATAGACATGCAGACGTTTTAAATCGATAGATCGATTTCACTTATCAAATAACTGGGTTGGTGTATTGCCATCGACGTTTTGAACATACGCCAGCACATCCCACCCCTCCCCTGTCATTATAAGTTCCTACGTGCATCAAATTAGTGTTAAACTCAGCCCCCCCCCCCCGCTAGAGTTAGGTGCTACGTATGTCAAATTGCTGCACCCCCCCCCCCCCCCCCCCCCCGTCTTGATGAAGTACTACGTGCATTAAAACAGTACTAAATCAACCCCCCCCCCCCGCGTACACCTAAAAAGACGGTTGAAATCGCCTTGTCATTCAATTTTCTTTATAAAGCAGCATTTTAAATACCGCGTCACTATTCCAGCGCATGTTTCTAAATCTGTCAAGAAATTGTGTGCTAGGGTATAATGTTGCAGGTGTTTTGATTGTGTTTTATTCAACACGGAATCAAAAGTGAGAGGCGTGCACAGTCGTGGTTTAGGTTAGACTCTGCTCATGGGATTTAGCTCAACAAGATATTGATAATCTAAAGAAAAAGTGGAAGATTTCAACAACGTTTGGACGATACGTGACCACAGGTTGTGACACACGTAACGATTTGTAGGGAGACACGTGACTTTGAGGACATCAAAACACTACCCAGAATTTCTCCTCGTTGATGGGTACTCACTTATGACTGAGTCCGGCTCACCAAGAGTAATCTACATAAATTTTAGCGCATTGCCTAAAATAGCCTGTGATAGTTTTGCTTATCCCAAGATTTAAATTTGTCACTTCACCTCGTCCGATGTTGCCTCTAATTCAATACACACCAACTTTCTTGTGTTGAAGATGAATACACAATAAAACCCCGGTTTTTTTTTTTTTTTTTTTTTTTTTTTTTTTGTTTTTCTATATCTCCAGCTTCAGACCGGCCTTGACCTGAGCCAAGAACTCGACCCCCATCTGCCTGTAAAACCTCAACACATTTTTTTTATTCACCCCACAAAACACCACATTGGAGATTGAAAGAACGAAACTAAAAGATTACCTCCCCTTTTTTTTTATCTCCCCGCGTAATGTTGTTGTATGATGTCATCAGGATTTTTTTTTTCTCTCCCTTACACGTCCGGGGGCCGGAACTCTGGTGTTTTGTGAATGAATTATTTACGAGCGGCTGGGTGATCTCCCGTGGTTCAGTTGTGACGGGGTGATGTCCCCTAGGTACCTGCGTGACGCAGTTGGGGAAAATGTAGAACAAGCGGGAAGAGGGGATAGATGGGCGGAGATGGGGGGGATACTAGATGGAGTGGATTGTGTTTCTCTCTAGCAAGGACGGGGTGGGATGTCTGTTTTGTTCATATTATTATATATTCATGTTAAAACTAGTTTTATCAGAGCTATAATGTTACTCAGTACTTTTTCCTGCTAACAAAACATTATATGATTCCTAACATCTACATATATATATATATATATATATATATATATATATATATATATATATATATATATATATATATATGTGTGTGTGTAAGTATAAATATATACATATATACAGAGAGAGATATATAGGTAGATATAGATATAAACAAATAGAAAGAGAGATATTTAGATATATGTGTATGTGTGTTTGCGTTAGTATGTGTGTATATATAAATGTCATTTGTGGGTGCATCCTTCTAATACCCCCCCCCCCCCTCATCTACTCTACTCCACCGCCAAATATTTGAACATCATCTTGCTACCTACTAAAGCTCCCCTATGTTCCACATGCTGACGTGTGTATGGTTTATATCGCACGGTACCATCAGACCAACAGACGCCACGATAAAGTCAAGACATGGCATTTATCACAGTGGTACCCCCATCTAAACTCTTCGATTATCAATCAGCCGATTTGTGGCGTATCGATCTATGTCTTTCCACATCTTGGTTTGCGAAATTATGGACTTAAAACAAGGAGTCGAGATAGTGACACATAGAGCAAGTACATGTCATTTCTACATGTGTTCTACATAGATGTCATATTTCTACATTTGTTCTACATAGATGTCATATTTCTACATTTGTTCTACATAGATGTCATATCTCTACATTTGTTCTACATAGAATACATATTTCTACATTTGTTCTACATAGAATTCATATTATATTTCTACATTTATTCTACATAGATGTCTTATTTCTACATTTGTTCTACATAGATGTCATATTTCTACATTTGTTCTACATAGAATTCATATTATATTTCTACATTTATTCTACATAGATGTCTTATTTCTACATTTGTTCTACATAGATGTCTTATTTCTACATTTGTCCTACATAGAATTCATATTTCTACATTTATTCTACATAGATGTCATATTTCTACATTTATTCTACATAGATGTCATATTTCTACATTTGTTCTACATAGAATTCCTATTTCTACATTTGTTCTACATAGATGTCATATTTCTACATTTGTCCTACATAGAATTCATATTTCTACATTTATTCTACATAGATGTCTTATTTCTACATTTGTTCTACATATTTCTACATTAGGATAGTACATGCAAATAACTCCAAATATGGCATACGTAGTATACACAATACATAAATTATTGCAAAGTAAATACTTAGTACACAAATTAAGAACACAGTACACATATAATACGCATATAGTACACACCAAAAACTAACTTTTACAATTAAAATACTATGATACCCTATTTGCACTAAGTTTTTAAAAACCTATACTGTACCCATTTTTTTTAATCGCTAGAAAAATATTTAATTATTTAATTATTTTAGTACAGAAAAGCCTTCTAAAAACTCTAAGTATTATAAAAACAAGAATTAAATAATCAATTGGAAAAGAAATCATTGAACGGAAACACGAATACCACTATGTTATTTACTGTTTTGTTATCTCACTACTTCACCTGTGGGTCTACTCGTGTTTTTTTTCTAACTAGACAGGTGAAAAATTTAGCTAATTAGTAATTCAAAATTAGTGTAATTTAAAATCGATAGTGTTAATTAACAAGTCTGGATGCGTTATGGTTAATTAGAGTAATTATATAACGTAGTAATTAACTTAAAATATGTGTCGTCCTCTTTCAGTGGCTCACATTTGTGGTGGGATCAGTTAACCTAAGAAATAATAACTGAGACAGTAATGCCTTTAAAAACTTGGAATTTCTTCAAGCAAGATGGACAATAAAACATATTGTTCAATAAGTATAATTAGTATAAACGAATATTCTTTAATTAAGCTTGAAAACTAAATGTATAATTTCTTACATATATCAAGAATATGCGTGAAGTATATGCTAAAAGTAACATTTAATAAATGCGTGTACATTTTTCGATTAATGCTGACACACTACTGTGAGGAAAAGGGGGGGGGATATCTGAAGCGTAGCGAGCAGTGGCGTAGGCAAGGGAGGTTAGAGGGGGTTATAACCCCTCCAATTTATATATATATATATATATATATATATATATATATATATATATATATATATATATATATATATATATATATATATATATATATATATATGTATATATATATATATATATATATATATGTATATATATATATATATATATATATATATATATATATATATATATATATATATATATATATATATATAGGATATATATATATAGGATATATAGGATTGTATACATATGGAAAAATGTTTGAACCCCTCCCATGAGCAATCCCTGGCTACGCCACTGGTAGCGAGTGGAGGGTGGTTGGGGCGGAACTCAAGGACTCCAGGGCACCCCAGGTATTGATGCAAAATGAAATAGAAAAAAATAATTAAAAGCTCATTCTGAGCTGCATTACTAAATAATACCGTCAAATATAAGAATACAGACTGGCCAAAAAAGTCAAATCTTAACAGATCATAAAAACATACATTTTACTAAAGTCAAATTTTTTACAAATTATAAAAACATACATTTTACTAAAGTCATTTTTTTTTACAAATTATAAAAACATACATTTTACTAAAGTCAAATCTTTTACAAATTATAAAAACATACGTTTTACTAAAGTCAAATCTTTTACAAATCATAAAAACATGCATTTTACTAAAAAAATATTAACAAATAAAAATTCTAATTAAACTAGTGTAAGAACCTATTGTAAATCATCATAGTATTAACATGACACATTTCTAGATAATACCCGAGATAAACTCTACTCCACCTTTTCTACTGGTACCACTTCCTAACAGCCTTTAACAAAAGTCACCTAGTCTTTTTTTTCTGACGATCTGAACTAACCGCCCCCCTCCCTTCTCTTCCAAGTCATTGTCCCGTTAAATCTATCCCCCCCCCCCCACCCAATCCATCTGAATGGAATGACAAAGTTTAAACTAATTAATTAAACTTCGTGCCATCTGACCGGTTCTTATTCCACTTCCGGTTCGCCTTAAATCTGACGTCACACATTTTTTATCAAGAGCTCAAGGACAGATATTGTGTACAAGGACACATGTTGTGTACAAGGACACATGTTGTGTACAAGGACAAATGTTGTGTACAAGGACACATGTTGTGTACAAGGACACACAAGTTGTGTACAAGGACAGAAGTTGTGTACAAGGACACATGTTGTGTACAAGGACAGAAGTTGTGTACAAGGACACGTGTTGTGTACAAGGACACATGTTGTGTACAAGGACAGAAGTTGTGTACAAGGACACGTGTTGTGTACAAGGACACATGTTGTGTACAAGGACAGAAGTTGTGTACAAGGACACATGTTGTGTACAAGGACACATGTTGTGTACAAGGACAGATATTGTGTACAAGGACAGATATTGTGTACAAGGACAGATATTGTGTACAAGGACAGATGCTGTGTACAAGGACAGATGTTGTGTACAAGGACAGAAGTTGTGTACAAGGACACGTGTTGTGTACAAGGACACATGTTGTGTACAAGGACAGAAGTTGTGTACAAGGACACATGTTGTGTACAAGGACACATGTTGTGTACAAGGACAGATGTTGTGTACAAGGACAGATGTTGTGTACAAGGACACATGTTGTGTACAAGGACACATGTTGTGTACAAGGACACGTGTTGTGTACAAGGACAGATGTTGTGTACAAGGACAGATGTTGTGTACAAGGACACATGTTGTGTACAAGGACACATGTTGTGTACAAGGACACGTGTTGTGTACATGGACAGATGTTGTGTACAAGGACACATGTTGTGTACAAGGACACATGTTGTGTACAAGGACACATGTTGTGTACAAGGACAAATGTTGTGTACAAGGACACATGTTGTGTACAAGGACAAATGTTGTGTACAAGGACACATGTTGTGTACAAGGACAGATGTTGTGTACAAGGATATATGTTGTGTACAAGGACAGATGTTGTGTACAATGACAGATGTTGTGTACAAGGACAGATGTGGTGTACAAAGACATATGTTGTGTACAAGGATATATGTTGTGTACAAGGATATATGTTGTGTACAAGGACACATGTTTTGTACAAGGACACATGTTGTGTACAAGGACATATGTTGTGTACAATCTATAGAAAAATGACGTTTTCTACAAACTAGAGTGATCATTTTATTACGTCTTTTTTATTTAAGTTATCAATATATTCAACTTTTATATCGTTAAAACGTCAAACAACTAAAAGTACCTCTTTAGACCAGGTGATTTTGTGGGCAGATGTAGTAGAGCTCATGTTTCTTAACCTCGCCATCTGAAACGATTGTGTGGTCAGCATCCCTTCCCCGTCACGAAAGTTTCAAGTGCCCTTCCCTCACTCGGAGAAAAATGCCTGAAAGAAACCCTATACATAACATGCTGGATTGGCCCATCAAAGTAAAACCTGCTGGTGTAGTTTACCTATTATATCAGTACTGTACAGTAAGTAATTTGTTAAACATTCACAACACATCGGTACACGTCGTTGTTGTTACCACCCACATGCCTCGGTACACGTCGTTGTTGTTACCACCCACATGCCTCGGTACACGTCGTTGTTGTTACCACCCACATGCCTCGGTACACGTCGTGGTTGTTACCACCCACATGCCTCGGTACACGTCGTTGTTGTTACCACCCACATGCCTCGGTACACGTCGTTGTTGTTACCACCCACATGCCTCGGTACACGTCGTTGTTGTTACCACCCACATGCCTCGGTACACGTCGTTGTTGTTACCACCCACATGCCTCGGTACACGTCGTTGTTGTTACCACCCACATGCCTCGGTACACGTCGTTGTTGTACGACGACGTGTACCCATCGTGACTCGCCTCAGTTGCCGTCGCCACAACGCCTCTATACGCGTCGTTTTTGTGACCGCCGAGATACCTCAGTACCCTCTATACACGTCGCCCTTTGGTACCCGTCGTTGTTATGACCCACCTCGGTATCCGTCGTCGTTTGCGACCGTACTGCTTTGACTCTGCCCTCCGACGTAGCATGAAATCGATTTTTCCCGTCTTCAAGGGCTCGTAACTCATGAATGACCCAGTCCCCAGTGACACTGACCTAGTTGTTATCTACCCTTTTTTCCCCCTCGGCGGAGCAATGTCAAGCAATGACGTCAGTGGAATAAAAGTTGAAGGCGACGCTTTGACGTAGTCTGTGATCAACTCTTTTTTTTTTTAAACTCGTTTATTGGTTCGTTTTATTTTCTTTCCGGAAGAGCTTTTTATTTCATAAATACAGGCAGACTTCTTTTTAAATTAACGGGTTTTTTTGTTATTGTTACACATTCATTTTAAATATAATTATTTTGTTCATTATCTCATCATATGCGGGCTTAGCCTATGGACATTGTGTGTTTGTTTGTGCTTGTGATGTGTAACACACACACACAGACACACACTTACACACATATATAAATATATATATATTATATATATATATATATATATATATATATATATATATATATATATATATATATATATATATATATATATATATATGTATATATATATATATATGTATATATATATATATATATATATATATATATATATATATATATATATATATATATATATATATATATATATATATATATATATACATATATATATATATATATATATACATATATATATGTATATATACATATTTATATAGATAGATAGATATATCTATATATATATATATACATATATATGTGTATATATAAGTAATCGCTAAAAAAAAAAAATTTCAATTTTAATGTGTACGGGAGGGGTGCTATCTTAGATCTACAACTGCTTTTATTTATTTTTCTAGTTTTTCTAGTCAAGGTTAAAATCTAGAAGGTGTTATCCAACACATTTTAACCATAAAATTCTCGACCTTTCGACAGGGATGGTTTAGCTTTCTATTTGAAATATCGATTTTGTTTCAATAATACCGGTATTAAATCATTTATTACGGCTATGATGACGTCAATAGCTGGCCACAATTAAAGGCGGATAGAGAAGAGGTTTACGTCAAACTAACAGGGATGTGTGGCCCTGGGGTGTAGTGTGTGTGGTTTAAGGGTGTAGTGTGTGTGGTTTAGGGATGTAGTATGTGGTTAAGGGATGTAGTGTATACACACATATACACACACTCATATATATATATGTATATATATATATATATATATATATATATATATATATATTGTTTTTTTTAATTAAGGAATAGACATTTTTTACAAACGATTTTAACATACAGATGACACTGGCTGAAGGTTTAAAAAGTTTAATTAAGTAACCATAACATACAAACAGGATTACTTTAGATTAAGTAGATGTTAGATACAAATATACCCTACATCATGGGTATATGCAACGGCATTTGTATTTTAATCGATAAGGAAAAATCGGTATCTTGACCTATTTACATTTTTACTGTCTAGTACAGCAAACAAAAAATGTGAATACTTTTAGTGCGAGGTCTTTGCGTCACAAGACCAGCTCAGGGGTGGGGGGGGGGTGTCTGCACCAGTACACATCATTAAGGGGTTGACACCAAATCCAAAATTATCATATTTTTTTTTTAATTTTAAGACAATGGTTTGTACAGTTATAATTGTTTTTAAAATATAGGGGGAGAGGGGTGATACCACAATAAAAATAGCAAAAAAAATTTAAATGGGTGACAACATTTGTTACCACATCGGGTGATACTCTCCTTAGTACCGCGTGAGAATATATTATAACAATGGTGGATGAAGACTAGTGAATGGCGTGCAGGTTGGATTGGAGGTGATTGGTGTTTTACTATGCAAGGAGTGGGGGTTAGTGTGGGACGGGGTATTGTGGTAATGGTGAAGGGGTTGGGGGTGAAGTGGGGGTGTGTAGGGTTGGAGATGTTTGGGGTGTAGGTTGAGTGTGGTTAGGTGTGTCGATGGGTTATTCTAAAACACTGGTGTGAGGAGGAGCTAAGATGGTGGGGGAGGGGGAGATCGGGGTGGGCATAAGGACAGGGAGTGTCAGGTAGAATCTGTGAGCAGGGTAGACAGTGTTGTGAGAGGTGTAGAAGTTTGGGTTGTGTGAGGAGTGGGGTGTGTGTGTGAGGGTGTGGTGTGAGGTATGGTGTGAGGGTTGAATATTAGGGATAGTTGTGAGGGTTGGGTTTAAGAGAACTTCAGAAAAAAATACACGCATTTTGAACCCAACCAAAAAAATCAGTCAATCCCATAAAAACCTGATGTCAATTCCCTAAAAGCCTGATGTCATTCACCTAAAAACTTTATGTCAATCCCCTAAAAGCCACATGTCAATCCCCTAAAAGCCACATGTCAATCCCCTAAAAGCCACATGTCATCAAATCTCTAACCTACCCCCACGCAGCATAAATCGGTCATTTGCTCTTTACCTGGCTGATATACGATCGTACTTCATCAAATTACTTCCCTTGCCACCTTCATCAAATTACCTCCCCTGACATAGACTTTTCGGGGGCGTAACAATTTTTGTTTATTAATTTAGCCAAGATTAAATTCACTTTAAAAAGTTCAAAATTTATATCCACATATGTTACCTGGACTATCGGGGGCGTAATATGATTTTTTAACTAATTTCGAGAGGATCGAATGCATGAGGTATAACTAAAAACTAAAGTCCAACAATTAGATTAATTTACTTTACTGCTTAATAAAATTGTTGTGGTTTTTTTTAATGGTGAGCCGATGAGATGGAGAGGGGGTCAAAAGTAATTTTAATTGATGGGGTTTTTAAACTGTGAGTTGACGGGATGAGGGTTGGGGGGGGGGGGGTCAAAAGTAGTTTGAATTGATTTAAGGGAGGGGAACGTATCATCGTCATCATTTCCAGTTCGTGCCCAAGACACATGGGGCAGATGAAGTAGAGTTCAACTGCTTCAGATATCTCGGGGTAGCTTGGTCAGTACTATGCCCAAACGCCTTTGTTTCCCTAACGTGAGTTAAGTACCCATCAGTTGGGTGGACCCAGGGACGTTTGAACCCGGATTCGAACTCGAGACTCTCGGGTTGGCAGTCTAGCTTGGGGAGCTTACACTGTTGTGTCAAGAAAATTAAGCCAATTAATGCGATAAATGAGTAGGCTGCTAATGAAGATTTAATTGGTGTCATTGTAACACCCATGCTATTATCACTGACATTGCAATACGACCCCACTAGTCAAGTATAAAAACTTTTCTGGCTTGAGATGTTGAGCATGGGGCTTCTTAGAAATCAAGGGTGAAGTTAAACCAGAAAGAGGGACTGGCGTTTGTCCTGTATGTGGAACAGGTTGTGGGGTGATATTAAACACTGACGGATAAAGGAGATGGGGAGGTGAAAAAAACTGGCAGTGTGGAGAATTATCATGGTGGACGTGCTCCGGGAGGGGGTCAAAGCGACGTCTGAAAGAAACTGCTAGTGTAAATTACAACATAGCGCAGAAGGAGGGGACATGTGAATGAACAGCAAGCACGAGGACATTTCTGGAACATCTGAAACATTGACCTCCAATGGCAGGAAATTGATTCTAGAACATTGGAATATTTTTGGCAGACACCGCGTATTTCTAGAACAATAAAAAGTATTTTGTAGATTCAGGAACATGACATTGAATTAGAAACATGACGTAGATTTAGGAACATCACGTACAGTGTTTCTTCCGGACTTTTTTCTCCGAGGGGGGGGGGGGGGCGGTCAACATTTTCTGGGGGGGGGGGGGGTCAACATTTTCCGAGGGGGCGGACACTGGTAAGACTTTCTTCGGGGGGGGGGGGGGGGGCGGTCAACATTTTCTGGGGGGGGGGGGGGGGGTCAACATTTTCCGAGGGGGCGGACACTGGTAAGACTTTCTTCGGGGGGGGGGGGGCGGCGAAGAGATGCCTGGGAGAAACTCTGGTGACGTAGATTCAGGAACATAACGTAGATTCACGAACATGACGTAAAA